CCAGGCCGCCCCGCCCCGCCCCGCCCCGCCCCCCCCCGCGCCCCGCCCCGGCGCTGTAATGTGCGACAACTGTCAACAACTCTTGGCCCAACTTTTCAATTTTGCCGCCCCGCTCGCGCAGGCGGCGCTGGCGGCGCCGCTGACCTGGCAGAAGCGCGCCGGGCTTTTGTGTCGCGTCTCGCGGCCCAGTTCCACGAGTCGAGAGTCTCGCTTCGATCTTCGATCTTCGATTCGAGTCGAAATTCGGCACGCCCCGATCCCTCTCCCAGTGCGTCGTCCTCCTCGGCCGAGTCTCAGCCGCACTTGCAGTGTTTCCCCCCTCCCCACCAAACCACTGCCTCTACACTGTCAAAAGATTCGCTCGGTGCAGCACGCACCTGCCTCGCTACTGGTCTGCAAAAAAAAAAATTTAAAAATCGCATTTTTTCCCTCCAGTGTGCGAATGGGTAATGGCGGCTGGAATGGCACACATCCTTCACCTGCTCCTCGTTTGTTTGCACTGGCTGGGCTCCTCTCGTGTTCCTCAAATCCAATCAGTGAGGTTAGGCCAGCGTAATGAGCGCGCGTTGCTCGCAGTCCGAGGGAAAAACAAACGGCACGCGTGTTAATTTTGCACTTTTCTGACCCGTTTGCTGTTTTTTTTACTGTATTTTTTTAATATGAAGGCGCCACGCCATGTGAGGTGCTTTGCTTTTGTTGTTTTTTTTTATATCGTCTTTATGAAAGTCCCCCGCGTGCCCGGACGTAATTCCTCGGCGCTCGTAACCCCGGTCCGGTCTGCAGCGGACAGTTTCTGGCAGTGCTGCACCGCCGTGTTTGAGCAGTTTCGCCCCGTGGACATTGACGCGGCATTCGCTGTCCCACAGTGGGCCAGAAGACCGGTGGAGGCGGCCAAAACTCTGGACGCGTTGTGAGCTCCAGAGTCGCTAAATGGGACTCGAACCGAACGTGTGACCCCACCAATGGATTCCTCGTTCGGAGAGCAATCCATTGGTGTGGTCACACCTTCGGTTCGAGTGCCATTTAGCGACTGGAGCTCAAAACGCGTCCAGAGTTTTGGCCGCCTCCGCCGGTCTCCTGGCCCACTGTGTGTCGCCCTGGCATGTCCGTCGCGCGGCGGTCTCTCTCGCACGCACGGAGCGCGCAACGCGCCACGAGTGCGAGGGAGACAGAGCGACCCTGCACTGTGTGCGAAAGGGGATGTTTTGAGACGCGAATTTCAATTCTGCCCAGGCAGGGGCCTGGCCCGTGTGTGCCCCGGCCCCTTCGTGCAGCCCTCCAATGCGACTCCCCCTCCCCCTCCCCCCGGCCATGCGCGAGGACGAACGCGGCTCCTCGAGGGACACTCGTTCGGCCCGGTTGTCATCATTTCGGCCCAAACTTCGGTGAAATACGACACGGCGGCGTCCGCGCAGCCAGCATGGCCCGGCAGCGCCCATCTGCAGCCCCAAACAGCCTGCAACGGTATACAATCATGAGTTGAGAAGAGTGGCGCGCACAAAAAAAAAAGCAGCGAGGGACAGGGAGAAAAATTCCACGCTCGCGAAATAGTTTGAGTTTTGGCGCGGTTGGCGTCCGAAAAATGACAGTTTCCCGCAAGTGTTGTTCTTCCCCTCGGATGCGTGGGCGTGCGGGTGAGCGGCATGCACACTGTTCGCCGCTCCGTTTTAAAAGAAAACATAATCCAGCCGAGGGAACGCATTTCGCAAGCGCGCGCGCCCCCCGGCAGGCACGGCAGTGTGCCGGGCGGAACAACAACACCCCTTCCTTCCTCCACTTCTCATCCGAGACGGGGGCCATTCGCAGAGCCTAACATGGCGGCACTATGATCTCAACTTTCCTCGCTACCGAATCCACGAAAGCCCGGACCGGCCGCGGGCAGCCCCCTGCCCCGCCGCGCCTCCTTGCCGCCGAAAGCCGGCACACTGCCCCCACCCCCTCCACGCGGAGACACTCTCGCGTGCCTCCGGCGCGGCCCGGCGCGGCCCCAGCTCATTTTGTGTGGGAACGGCGCGGGGCGGCGGCAGGCATGGCGGCAGGCGGCAACGAAAACACACAGCCATGTGGAATTTGAATTTCGCATGCACCAACTTGACTTCCGCGGCGAGCTTATTTTTCTTGGCCGCGTCGGAGGAGAAGCGGGGCGGCCGACGCGGCGGCCCGAGTAAAATAAATCAGGGGACAAAATAGGCGGCGACGGCGGGGATTCGAACCCGCGGCGCTCCGCGCTCCGCCACCGTCGCGTCGGACAGCCGTGCGCCTGTTGTGTCGCAGCGAGTTTGACAAATGAAGTTTTTGCACTAGCAGGTCGCGGCGCTATCTAGCCGCCCGGGGGCCTCGCCCGCCCGCCCCGCCGCGCCCCGGGTAGACTTTACATCAGCCGACATGCCAGCCCGAGGCGGGCGGGGCGGGGCGGGGCGGGGCGGGGCGGGGCGGGGCGGGGCGGGGCGGGGCGGGGCGGGGCGGTGCCCTGCGTGTCACACTCGGTGCCAATTAAACTTGCTTCATTTCAGACTGCACGCCCCCCCCCCTCCCCGACCGCGTCTTTACATTGTGTCAAAGTTCCATGCCGCACGTCAATGAACCCAAGCCGCGCTTGTCGCTTCGCTTTCCGGCCAGATAAGGCGCTAAGTTTGCCCCCAATCGCCAACCCCCTCCAAAAAAAAAAACGTTTTCTTTGTAAAAATGTAAAATGTAAGCTTTGGTGGTTATATTTTGCAAACGGCCGCAGGATACAAAAAAACTAAGGAAATCCAAATTTTTCCGGATGTTGCACCCTGACGAGGCGCCGCCCTTCGCGTTATTATTGTTTCGGTGGTTTGCGCGGTTTGCACTCGCGTGCTTGGGACGCTTTCTTTCCTTTTTTTAACAAAAAAAAATTGTTTCGGCGTGCCTCTTTCGCCCCATTTACCCTGGACAGGGACTGGCTAAGACCGCTGTGTGTCTTTTGCCCGCACAATATGGATGTTTTTTTCTCTTTCTGCTCGTCGTCGCCGAGCCGCCCTTCCAGTGTGTGCGTTGTGTGTGTGTGTGTGTGTGTGTGTGTGTGTGTGTGTGTGTAGTGCCCAGAGAAAGAAGACCGACGTGCGTGGCTCAGGGGCCTGACTTGCAGCCGGCGTAGCTCGTAGTGTTGTGTACTCGGAGGCAGAAAAAAAAAATTTAAAAAAAATTGCGAAGCGAATAAGGCAGCGGTGAACTGGAGTGGCAGACGACAAGGGGGTGGCTGGCTGGAGCGGGTGGGCGGGGCGAGTCCTTGAGCACCGTCCTCGTCGTCGTGAAGGTCTGAAGGGCCCACGCGACATGGATTTCCTCCCCGCACTTTGCAATTATGGTTGTACGTTGTAACCCCCGCGGCAGCGCGCACCGCGGCCCTGCCCGTGTGTCGTGGGTGCTCCAATTTTTGTTCCGAGTGAACTCGCCTCGGCACCTGTAGCTTTGGGCGCTTGCTGCTCCGAGGATCCAAGGACGGCCTCAAATTCTCACTCTCCTGGCCGCTTCGGCTGCTTCTTGTGGCGTGGTTGCCGGGCGGCTACTCGCCCCAGGGCATACGCCTCCTTCCCCCCCCCCCCTCCCCCGCCACACGCTGCTGGTCTTTATCACGATCGGAAGCTTTTTATGGGCGGCGTCAGGGGCTTTAGAAATATTGGGCGGAATTAGTGGGTGCAACAGCAGCAGCGCACAGAGTGCCCTCCCGCCATACTTCATTTCACCTCCTCCTCCTCCTCCTCCTCCTCCTCCCCCTCCTCCTCCTCCTCTCCTCCTCCTCCTCCTCTCCTCCTCCTCCTCCTCCTCCTCCCCTCCTCCCCCTCCTCCTCTCCCTCCTCCTTCTCCTCCCTCTCTCCTCCTCCTCCTCCTCCTCCTCCTCCTCCTCCTCCTCCTCCTCCTCCTCCTCCTCCTCCTCCTCCTTCTCCTTATCGCCTGCTGCTTCGTGTCCCTGACCACTTTCTCCTCTCTTCATCCCTAGGTTACAGTCACTACTCGTTGGTGCATTGCAAAGTACCGACGAGTGGCTGGGAAAAAGAATTTTGGCGAATACACTTCAACCTTCAAACTTAATCAAGAAAAAAAACATTGTTAAAAACTGTGTTAAAAATTCGGGTATAAAACTTTGGTAAAAATTAAAAATGATCCTCGCTGGTGCATCCCAGTGGTCGTGTCGCGGTAGATCCGAATCGCCCTGTCATTATCGCCTCGAAGGAACCATTTTACTCTCTCTCTCTCTCTCTCTCTCTCTCTCTCTCTCTCTCTCTCTCTCTCTCTCTCTCTCTCTCTCTCTCTCTCTCTCTCTCTCGCTACCTCTCGGTCCTTTTGGCTGCATTACGTATTCACGCCGGACACTGTTCGCTGGCTGCGCGTGTGTGCGTGTGTGCGTGTAAATCGAAAATTCGATTACCGCGGCGCTGCGACGCGTTGCGGGGCTTGATGTATTTGCTAATTTATATCTGGATTGTGATTGGCCGTGATTAGCGTTTTTCGTCACGTCCTGGCCAGCCTGGGCCTGTCGCCGGCCGGCCGTCGCTCTGTCTCTCTCGCACTCATGGGGCGTCCCACAGAGGTGCGAGAGAGACAGAGCGACGGAATGAGCGTGCTGGCTGCTCTGGCTCGCAGCCAGCGGCGGTTCGGCGACTGCATGCCCTACCTGTCGTCGCGCCCTGGCTCTCTCGCACCCGCGGCTCGTCCCGTGGCGGTGCGAGAGTGCGAGAGAGACAGGCGATGCCCCGAATTGCCGTCCGCGTTTGCATACCGATGCCCTGCACGGGGTGGGCGGGGAGCCGGATTATCGTTCGTCATTTTTGGATGTCGGATTTAGCGACAGCTGTGACGCGGCCGGGGCATGGCCCTCTGTGTCCATCCTTGTGTGTGTGTGTGTGTGTGTGTGTGGTGAGAGAGAGAGAGAGAGAGAGAGAGAGAGAGAGAGAGAGAGAGAGAGAGAGAGAGAGAGAGAGAGAGAGAGAGTGTGTGTTTCTGGTGGTCCGTAACGTGTGTCCCTCTGGTTGCAGGACCGCCACGCCATCGAGCGCTCCGAGCCCGAAGTGGATTCTAGTCAAGACTACGAGCAACTGCTCGGCTACGAGAACGGCACGCACACCGTGCTCAGGTTTCGCCGGAAGTACGACACCTGCGATCCGCACGACTTCAAAATCACGGTAAGACACCAATATTTTTTTTTAAACCTTTTTTCAGTTTTTTTTTTGTTACTTTTTATAACTTTTTTTCATTTTTGTAAAACTTTTTTCCTTTTTTTAAAACTTTTTTTTAACTTTTTTTACCTTTTATTTACCTTTTTTACCTTTTTACGTTAAAAAAACTTCTTCATCTTTTTGTCTCTTTGTACGCATTTCACGGTTTTTGATTAGCTGGTTTGAACTTGGCACGGGAATCGGCGGCGTCAGTGTGGAGCCCTCCTCCTCGCGCCCCGCCAATTTACAGTGGGGGGGGGGCGATTCCGCACCGAACTGAAATATCTGCGCGCCGGATTGGGCCTTTTAGACGGATTGGTCTTTTCGCGACGCGCTCTCCTTTGAGGCCCTTTGGCCGCCGTTGTGCTCGGCGGCAGCCAAGCAGCAGTCAAGGCACCCGCTGTGTCCCCTCTCAACGCAGATTAGAAACAAGAATCGCCCGGCCGGGCTGCAGGCCACTTCCTAATGAAATGCGCAGGCCGGAGGCTGGCAGGCTGGCTGGCCCAGCGACCGACTTGGCCTGCTTGGCCTGCTTGGCGTGATCGCGAGCACTTTTCATTACCTGGCGTGCCAATGGAGTGAGCCTCGCGAGGGAAACTTGGTCGGCGCTAACAGGGGGCGAACGGGGCGTCTACTTTGGCGGAGGCCCGGAGGGTCATCACCAGATTGATGAGGCACTGCGTGTCGCGGAGCAAGCAGCGCTGGAGCCGAGGCTGGAGCCGCGCGCACAGTGGGCCAGAAGGCCGGTGGAGGCGGTCAGAATCCCGGACGCGTTTTGAGCTCCAGAGTCGCTAAACAGGACACGAACCGAGCGTGTGACCCCACCAATGGATTGCTCTCCGAACGAGGAATCCATTGGTGGGGTCACACGTTCGGTTCGAGTCCTGTTTAGCGGCTCAAAACACGTCTAGAGTTTCGGCCGCCGGCAACGGTCTTCCGGCCCACTGTGACGCGGAGCAGAGGCCGTGCGCCCGCCGCGCCCCGCGATCCATCTCGCCTGGCCGAGGCCGTGCAGCACCTAATTGAAAACAAGCAGCCGGGCTATTAGGGGCTGCAGCGGCCGAGGCCGTGGCGTGGCCTGGCCCATGGGGCGCTCTGCCCGGCCCCGCCGCTCACAGGCAGTTCATCACCGGCACGCTGTTCAATCATGGCGCGGTGCATTAGCGCGGCGGCATGGCAGCGGGGCGGTGTTCCCATCGACAGCCCCACGGCCTCCTCCACGGCCTCCTCCACGGCCTCCTCCACGGCCTCCTCCACGGCCTCCTCCACGGCCACCTCCACGGCCTCCTCCACGGCCTCCTCCACGGCCTCCTCCACGGCCTCCTCCACGGCCTCCTCCACGGCCTCCTCCACGGCCTCCTCCACGGCCTCCTCCACGGCCTCCTCCACGGCCTCCCCCACGGCCTCCTCCACGGCCTCCTCCACGGCCTCCTCCACGCCGAGGCAAAATTTTGCCTACTTACATAGGGGCAACTCGCGTACCTTTCCGGCGGCTATCTAGGAGCTAAGGGTGGAGGCCATTGCCCCTCCCCCCCTCCCTTTTTGCCCTGTACAGTGTGTGTGTGTGTGTGTGTGTGCGTGTGGCCGGGGCGTGGAGTGGGTGTGCCTGACCAGGAAGAGGGTCAGGTCCGCCCGCTGCAGCGGCAGAAGCCCGAGCTCACGCGCGGCGAAATTATGGGCTTGGTGTGGACAGATTTAATTATGCCGCAAAGCTGGTGGGCGAGGAGAGGTCAGTGTGTGTGTGTGTGTGTGTGTGTGTGTGTGTGTGTGTGTGTGTGTTGGGGCTGTTAAGACGAGCCCTGTTGTCGCGACGAGTGGGGATGGTGGCCGACGCCAGGGGTAGCTCAGAGAGGAGCAGGTGGTGGTTGAGGCTGTACGCGGTGCGGTGGCGGCGTCCCCCAAAACGCAATAAGAGTACGCATACACGCGTACCCTGTTTTCCCTGCTTTCCCAACCCCACGCGGCAGTGGCGTGGCAGTGGCGTGGCAGTGGCGTGGCAGTGGCGTAGCCGGGCGCGCACCGCCGATGCCGTTGTGTTCATTCAATTTGGTTCCGGTTACTCGCGGCGCCGTCTCAAAATATGGACTCGGCGCGGCGCCACCAACCTTGTTAGGTCGCTGCCCGGCCACCTGGAGGGAACCTGGAGGCAGCCTGGAGGCAGCCTGGGAGGGCGGGGGCTGGGGGTAGGTCGTCATCACCCGCTGCTCCCCCGGCGCGGCGCCCTCGGAAAGCTTTTAACGTCGCGTCGAATCCCTGACGGCGCGGAGCGCGGACGCCGTGCTATCATCTTCGCCGCCCGCTCCGCCTGCCCCTCAGGGTCCTCGGCGTCGCCCGGCGTCGCCCGGCGTCGCGGGCCCGAAGTAGTCCCGAACCCGAGCCGACCTCGGCCGACCTGGCGGGCCTGCTCTGGCAGTGCAGTGTAGCGTGTAGCGCCTCTATGTTCTCGGCGCGTTCCAGGATCTTTGCATGAGTCAATCTAGGCAAGCTGTAAAAAAAATAGCATTTCAAGAAAAAAAACAGGATTTTTGGTGGTGGTTTGTTTGTGACGAGATTTGCCGAAGTCGGTACGCACTGCGAAGTACGTCACTTCGATACTCGAGTTTGCGCCGTGACTCTCCGCGGCGTGGATATCCAGTTTAAAAAGGGCCGGGTTTTGGCTTGCAAAAGGGCTTTGACGAGCTTGCAGGGCCCCGCCCCGCCCCGCCCCGCTGTACAGCAGCAGGCGTGAGGCATGATTAGCGGAGGCGTGTCTAAAGGCGGGGCGGGGCGCTCGCTCGCAAAATGGAAATAGCTCTCTCCAAAGTTTGCGGGCGGGGCGGGGCGCGACGGGGCGGGGCGCGACGGGGCGGGGCGGGGCGGGCAGAGTGCAGAGTGCAGGGGGAGAGAGATAGTTCGGGCTCTTAATAAACGGCCACCATGTCGCGGTTTGCTGGTTCACTTGTTTGCCTCGGCCGCCTTTGCCGCCTTTGGTGGGGTAATGGAGCTCGGACGGGGCAATGACTCACGATAAATCCGAATTCGGGGCGCGCGAACCGAACCTTTGCTTTCTCGCACCGTTTTGCGGCCATTTTCGGACGCGCGTCGGAAGCCGGGCAGCCATGCAGGCTGGGCGACAGACAGACAGGCACACAGACAGACAGACAGACAGACAGACAGACAGACAGACAGACAGACAGACAGACAGACAGGCAAGCAGACAGGCACGCTGGAGGCGGGTGTAGCCCAAGTTCTCTGCGGCTGTCAGCCGAGCGCCTTGCAGCCAGGCATCTCGGCGGCACGGCTGTGGAGCGCGTTGCCTACGCTGCAGGCTGAGGCCCCGCCTTGCAGTGCAGCAGCGCAGCCAGCACCACGCTCCTTTTTGTTGCTTCCAAACAACAACAAGAGGGTGCCCACCAATGGCCTTATTGAATGCCGTCTCCTTGTCACAGTGACTCGCCCTGCAGGGCATGCCCCACTCGCCCCGAGGAGCCCGATTCGGATCGCTGTGCCGTTCCAAGTCTGTCCGGAACGAGCGGGCCTCGGCGCGGGGCAGGCCAGGGGCAGGCCAGGGGCAGGCCCACGGCCAGGCCGGCAGGCCGCGGTCGTTTACGGGAATTTATATTCTGTTTTTATTCGCGCGTTCCGGTCCCAGGCGTAGTGCGTCTTCCGCCGGGAGGGTCTTATTTAGCCGGGGCTGTTTTGTTGTTGTTGTTGTTGCTTGCGTCTTTTTATTGCTAAATAGGCGTGCGGCCACTGATTTCGGGGGGAAATTAGTGTCGAAGACGCGGTCGCGGCGCCCGAGCCCGTTTAATTCGATGGGGTCCAGGGGCAGGGCCAGCAGGGCCAGCAGGACGGGACGGGGGTGGCGCCATTGTGCAGTGTGCCCCCATTCAGGCCCTGCTGCAGAGCCACAAAGGCACTGGGCCTGGAGGCCTGGAAGGCTTGGGAGGCCTGGAAGGCGGTCTGGAGGGCAGGGCGGCCCAGAAAAAGGGAGCGGGCCGGAGCCGGACCGCTGCTCGGCTCATGTCATAATTTTCGCGACCACAATTGTGTCATGGCGACCCGTCTCCTTATTCGGCGCCAGGGAGTCGCCTGTCTGTCTGTCTGCCTGTCTGCCTGTCTGTCTGCCTGTCTGTCTGTCTGTCTGTCTGTCTGTCTGTCTGCCTGTCTGTCTGTCTGCTGCCTGCCTGCCTGTCTGTCTGTCTGTCTGTCTGTCTGCTGCCTGCCTGCCTGTCTGTCTGTCTGTCTGTCTGTCTGTCTGTCTGTCTGTCTGCTGCCTGCCTGCCTGCCTGTCTGTCTGTCTCGCCGTCTGTCTGTCTTCTGTCCCTTCTGCTCTGTCTGTCTGCTGCCTGCTCTGTCTGTCTGTCTGTCTGTCTGTCCGTCTGCCTGTACTGCCTATCGCCTTGCAAGAAACCAGCCCCCGGCTGGAAAGTGTCGATGCATCGCACAACCCGTTTGTCTTCCCGATTCCCCCCTCTCTTCGCATTTGTTTGTTTCCGAGGTGGTTTATTACGAAATTTGGAGCCAGCCTCCCCGGCCGGGCCTCGCGCCCCCTGCAGGGCCGGGGCTGCAGGCTTGCAGGGCCCTGGAGAGTCGTGAGCAGTGTGCCGGCCCGTTCGGCCCGCACTCCGGAGCGTTATTTCCGCGGTAATGGTCTCGAGCGAGAAAATCTCTTCCAATATTTTGATTTGTGGCCCAACACCGGCGCCGGCTTTTTATTTATTTTCACTCAAAAGTGTTGCGCGCAGGGGAACTTTAGTGTCTCCCTAATGGTAATGGAAACCTTTCAAATATGAAAAGAATTTTTTTTTTTTTTTTGAAATGTTAAAATTTTTATTTTATTTTACTTTAATTTTTTGGTCGCTGCGTTCCTGCTTCGGGCGACGCGTTGACGCGAGGCCGTGACAAGTGCGTCTTTGTTTAGAGAAAAGCGTCTATTGAATGTCTGGGCGTGGGTTTGCGGTGAGGGTGGGAAGGGAGGGGCGGTCACCTCCACCTCCCCTCTCTGTCTCTTTCTTTTACTCGCGGGCAATAAATTTGAATTATGGCGCAGGAGGGTGCTTATATGGATATAGGAATCACGCATTTTTCGCGCAAGCAGATGGAGGCTGAGTGCGTGCGTGGCGTTTTCGGTTTTTTTTGTGCGGAGTGTCCCTCTCCTTGTTTCGACCTTTGTGCCAAACTTTGGCCTTTCTTTAACCTTTTTAACGAGCGCTGCCCCTCCCCACCCTCTCAGATTGAGGACTCGCGTGCCCACAATGGTGGCGGGTTTTTCCCCCCTCCGCCGAAATCTCTTGTCCAACAAGGGCGGGTTTGTTCCTGGAAATGGTATTTAAGAGCTCCGGAGCACCGCGTTTTTCCTCGTCGTCTTGCCCGGCGCTGCTGGGCGTGCAGCCGCGCGCGGAAAACAGCATGCTTCTTCGCGCAAGTGGGGGCCGGGCCGTCGTGGAGACCGAGCAACACAATAGTCGAACCACGACGACGTCGTTTTAGTCTCTCTCTCTCTCTCTCTCTCTCTCTCTCTCTCTCTCTCTCTCTCTCTCTCTCTCTCTCTCTCTCTCTCTCTCTCTCTCTCTCTCTCTCTCTCTCTCTCTCTCTCTCTCTCCCTCTGTGCGCGAGTTTTCCTCATTCGCTTTTTCCTGGTTAGCTGTAGAGCCACGCGACGACCTTGTCATTGAGTCCCGACGAGCGTCGCCAAAAATATAAAACAGTCGATGCTTCCCTTTCTTCTGTGCCCCACCGAGGTGCGCGCAGCGTGAAGCCCGTCTGAGGCTCGGCAGGGCTCGGCGGCGCTCCGCAAGGCCGACCCGCCCTTTTCCGCCTTTTTCCACCCTTTTCTGCCCTAATTAGGACTAAGAAGGCTGCCAGGCGAAGGGAAGGGTTGATCCATTGATTATGCATGGCGTGGCTGGCAGCGCGGCGGCCCGGCCGTAGTCTAAAAGTCAAACCGGCAGGCCGTGTCACATTGCGCCCTTTTTCCCCGGCCTGCAGGGCCCTGGAGGACGGCGGTGGCGGTTCGGCCTTCGGCGCGGCGCGCAGTGGGCCAGCAGACCGGTGGAGGCGGCCAAACCTCCAAACGCGTTTCGAGCTCCACAGTCGCTTAATGGGACTCGAAGCGACCGTGTGACCCCACCAATGGATTCCTCGTTCGGAGAGCAATCCATTGGTGGGGTCACACGTGCGGTTCGAGTCCCATTTAGCGACTCTGGAGCTCAAAACGCGTCGAGAGTTTTGGCCGCCTACGCCAACCAAAGTGAAACCGCCACAAATTTACTTCACTCCTCTCGGAGCAGATGCGCGAATAGGCATGATGCTGCGTTATACTCCGCAAAGTCGGCAATAACAGAGCGTCTGAGGGCCCCTCCCCCCGCCCCCCGCCGGGCTGCCCCCGAGGGCCGGCGCTACAAAGCTGGATCCAAACGCCCCCTGTAGATTGAGACTAGTGCCTGCTCTCCTTTTGTAAGCGAAAACAAAGCAGTGGGCGAAGCAAGGCGAAGCGAGGCGCGGTAATACTGTGTGGACCTGACTCGGAATGACACTGTTGCTTCCACGCCGCCACTCCGCGGAACGCCCGCCCCGCCCCGCCCCGCCCCGCCCCGCCCCGCCCCGCCCCGCCCCGAGCAGCGTCTCAGTATTTAGTGACTGTAGCATCTTTACGGCCCCTATTCATTGTCCACGCTTTATGGGCCCGGCGTGGCGTGGCGTGGCGTGGCGTGGCGTGGCGGGGCGTGGCGGGGCGGGGCGGGGCGGGGCGGGGCGGGGCGGGCAGACACACTGTCGCCGGACGCGTTTAGGGGAGGCAAGGACCCCGCGCCGCGCGCCGCGCTCCAGGAGGAGATGAGGTTGTTCCAAGTTTGTTCGTTCGCACTTCCAAAATGTTAACTTTAAAAAAAAAAATTGAAAAGATAGAAGTTAAGGCTCCGGGAAGTTCAAGCGGGCGTTGATACGTGACGCGAGATGACTTGGCCAGCGCTGCCGAGGTTGTCGATTTCCGTCCTGGGGGGAGGGGGGGGGGCGCACGTGAGCGCGCGCGTGACTGAATATCACCTGTCACGGGTTATCGAGGCGACGCGGGCACCGAGGGCTGTGGAAGTGATTTCGGCGATACTCGACTGCAGAGCGAGGCCTGGCGTGGCGTGGCCTGACAGGCAGGCATCTCAACCACCCCCTTCACTGCGAGTCCATTTCCAGCTGTCGAAACCGCCCCACTGGCAGGCTCTGTCAGTAGCGCGGGCGGAGCAGGTGTCTCACTCGTTACGGTGGAGTGTGAGAGTCGCCTGGGACGCGCCGCTCCATTGGCTCATGTCGCTTATGGATTTTGAATCCCCCCCCCTCACCACCACCAGGCCGCATCTCGGATTTTTGTTAACGTTTAGAGCACTGCGCACTTTTGCCGAGCCGTCTGATTCAGTGCTGTCTCTCTCGCTCCCACGCTAGTCGCCCCGTGAGAGCGAGAGAGACAGAAAGTCCCCGGAGTGGCCGCTGATATTCACCCCCGGCTGGAAGCGCTGCCGAGAGAGAGCAAGAGATGGATGCCTTTCCAAAGCATTCATTCCATCCATCAATTACAAGTTTGACCCCGCGGCCAGCAGCCTGTCGCGGCGCCGCGTCTCTCTCGCTCCAGGGACGCCTCTGGACTCGGAGAGAGACAGAGTGACGGGTTTTCGCAACCAGTCTGCAGGCCAGCACCCCGGCCCGCTTTGCTCCAGTGCCCCTCCCTGTCTGTGTCTCTCTCTCCTCTCCGGGCCAAGAGACGCGAGTGCCTCATACTCAACAGATGGAACGTTATTTTGGCGGTGCGTCCGTTTGTCGTGCCTCCATTGTGCTCACATGACGGCCACCATGCGACCGCCGTGCGTCCGCCCCGGGCCCTGGGGACGTCGCGGGGACGGCGGGGACGCCTTGGCGACGTCCTGAGGGCGGCCGGGGGACGCCCCGAGACGCCCCGGCCCTCCTTCTGGTGGCGTGACGTGTCCGTGACGTGTCCGTGACGTGTGTCCGCAGCTGCCGGGCCAAAGGGACACGACAAAACATAAGAGCCTGTCATAGCGGCCACTGAGTCGGCCACGAGAAGAAGACCCTGCTCGGTGGCGCGGCACGGCCGCACCGACCCGCGCACCCCGCCACGACTATGTACTCCTCGTCCGAGAAAGGGCCAACAAGCCTTTTATTTTATTTATTTTTTCCTCCCAGTGACACCGCCTTTGGACAGGCCAATGGGTTCGGCGGAGGACGAGAGAGGACGGGACAGGGGGCAGGCAGGCAGGCGGGCAGCCGCCAGGCAGGCACCACGATGTTCAGGACCATGTCCTCGTGTGTGTGGAGTCTTATCGGGATTGCAATTCTGTGTATTTCGTTGGTGGGAAATGGAAGTCATCTAAACAGAGGTCCTCTATTCTCGTGTGTGTGTGTGTGTGTGTGTGTGTGTGTGTGTCTGTCTGTCTGTCTGTCTGTTTGTCTGTCTGTCTGTGAGTGTGAAGGTACGTGCCAGAGTAAGAAGGCCCATTGGGCTCCCCAGCCGGGATCCCAAATCCAGTTGGGATCGCCATTCCTTAACCAATTTCGACCCTCCCCCTTTTCCTTTATCTTTCACGAGAAAGGAGAAAAAAAGGGAAAAAGAAGAGGGGGAAAAAGAAATGTCGGCTTCTCTGCCGACACCACTTTCATCCGCCGGGGATGTGGGGAGCAGTGTGCCAATTGCCTCGCACGCACCTGACTCTAACGTCAAGCCGATCGCCCCGACCATCGCCCCGACAGTCCCGACGGTTCGCGGCGCATCAGGGCCAAAACAGCGGCGCTCTGTCTGTCTCCGTCTCGCTGCCGCCGCCGACGTATTTCTCATATATTTCTCGCAGCCAGCGGCAGCCAGCCAGCCCCCGGGGGCCGCGATGCCTCGCCGTGCCTCGCGATCCTCCTTCAATCCGTCGTGTGTTTCTGTCACTCCATTTTCCTCAATTTCCTCTCGCTCGCGCGTCTACACGCGGTCCGCGCTGCGCAGTGCAGCAGTGGTTGTTTCTCCCTCTTCTTCTCCTCCTTCTTCTTCTTCTTCTTCTTCTTCTTCTTCTTCTTCTTCTTCTTCTTCTTCTTCTTCTTCTTCTTCTTCTTCTTCTTCTTCTTGTGTGTGTGTATTTAGCGGGCGCTTTCCGGTTCTTTTTGCCGCCAATAGTGAGGCTATAGAAGGACTTTCACCCGACCGCCACCCCCTTCACGACACACACACACACACACACACACACACACACACACACGGAGACGGGCCGAGAGGCGTTCGCCGGGGGACCTCACTCGATCCTCAATCCCCATTTCGCCTCATTACCCCCAAAGTAACCCATCCTTTTCGGTCAATAACGGTGGACGCGGAGGAGAGAAGAGACCCCCCCCCCCCAGTGTAGCTCCAGAGGGAAGCCCCCCCCCCCCCAACGCCCCCCCCCACCCCTTTGCCTCGACAGTGTGGTGTTTCGCAGGGGGTTGACGTACCCCCAGCCCCGAGGGGCCATCAATAACTTAGCGGCCGGTATTCCGCCGTCCCGCTGCTGCCCGGCTGGCTGGCTGGCTGGCTGGCTGGCTTGGCCGGGCCGCCGTGTCCAACAAGTGGCTGATTGCGGATTGGCTGTTGCAGAACGACACGGTGCGCATGCTGTACGCGTACCACGACCGGGACCCCGTGGGCAGCGAGCCGCTGCCGTACCACGGGTCGCAGCGCGGCGCCCGCTCCGTCTTCCTGCTGGAGAGGGTGCCCCGCGAGGACGCGCTGCCCAGGGACACCCTCACCTGGGACCTGCGCAACCCGGCGGTAAGTACCCTTTTGTTGTTTTTGTTGTTTTGCAGTGTAGGACGTGGCCCAGGCGCCTGCGAGGTAGGCTGTGCCGCCGAGCTTGGCTGCTGTGCGTGGTGGCCTATGCTCGCTTCCGCGGGCGTCTCACGGTGGGCACGTGGCCAAAGTCCTAGACGCGTTTTGAGCTCCAGAGTCGCTAAGCAGGACTCGAAACCGAGCGTGTGACCCCACCAATGGATTCCTCTTTCGGAGAGCAATTCATTGGTGGGGTCACACGTTCGGTTCGAGTCCCATTTAGCGACTCTGGAGCTCAAAACGCGTCGGGGATTTTGACCGCCACTGTGCGTCTCCCTTGCACTCACGGGGGATGCGAATCGCAGTGCTATCGCGATACTAAACGGTTCGATCCGCAGTCAACTTGGAGTCAAAATATTTAGAGATAGTTTTTGGGCGCGGGTTTATCCAGAGACAAACCCTCCCCCAATAAGCAGCTAGTTCGTCCCGCGGACGGGCGGCGCGGCGGCGCGGCGGCCTAGCGGAGGGCGGCCCGCGATATTGCTCTTTGCAGTTTGTTGGCTCTTATTTACCCGGCAGTCAAACATACGGCGGTACACTGCCGCGCCGCGCCGCTGCGGCGTATTGGTTTCTGTTATGGCATTGAGGTTAGGCCTCGTCCCGGGCAGGGTCGGTGGCGCGCAAGCTCGGCCCAGCGCGGCCCGGGCTCGGCGGCGACGGTTAGTCCGCATCGACTATACAGCACTTTCGGGCCGGCTGCCCGCGCGCCAAGTTTTGCCTACAATAACTGCCCCTCGGACTCCGGCGGCCCGGCGGGGCGGGGCCCGGCGGCGGGCCGATACAGGCGGCGCCTCGCCTCGCCTCGCAGAGGGGCCCGGAGGCCCGCGGCCGCAGGGACCAAATTAATTTGTATGCTAATAGAAGGCAGAGACAGTTTTCTGTGCCACTCGCTTCGGGCAGCCTGCTCCTGCACGTTCGGCGCACTTTCGGAATGTGTGTGTGTGTGAGTGGGGCAGTCGTCGTAGGTGAGACCGGACCGGCAATGTTTACGGTGCAGGGCGGCCCGGAGGACGGTCAACTGGGGTGGCCTTCGGGGGG